GCTGATTGCTCGCTCATCGCGTTGCTCATCGTTACAGCTCATCGCTATTGTGACCCTCTGAAAGCTAAATTGACAGGTTTTATGTGCCATACACACACTTTAACTTCTTTTCTTGCATCTTGTAAATAAGAATTATCATTAAAATATCTCATAGCTTCATAAATCCGAAAAATATCATTTTAGCTGTAATGAGTATTTGCAAGCTTGCTTGCAAATTATTTAAATTATTAAGCTTAATCTGGAGATGTATTTAATGGGTTTGTTCTTAATGTGTTTGTTCTTCAGTGTACCTACATTGATATGTACATTCATTGCAATATTGATACTCATATGTTGATAGTTGCAAATATTATAATGCAAGCTAATAATATTGGTTCATTCCTAGCCCTTTATTATATACAATATGGACTAAAATATTCGCAATACCTATCGGTATAACTTTCAAGAAAACTAGAATAAATGATAAAATTCTGACTACGGTTCTAAAGGGTTCCATCTTTGGACCTACCCACCCTACCCTCTTTTCAGAACATGGAACGTGACTTCACAACAGATGTTTGAAATTTCCGCGTGCACATCGCTGAACGCTGCTGCAGATGACTATTTTGCGCTTGACGTTTTGGCGATAGCAAAGAGCGGTAGGGTTTATTTAATTATCTAGGTGAGATTTTATTCACGAACAACTTGTTTTGAAGTTGTGGTTCAAAATGAATTCATTCATCTTTGTCGGATGGAATTGTTCAAAGTGTGGGCGGAGAAGATCAAAATATCAAAGTTCAGAATATACAGTTGATTAACAAACCCATTGATGACATTTCAAGATAATGCATTTTTTATATAGTTGTAAATTTTATCATGAGTAAGTAGTAGGGTGTCCCAAAATTGCACTATGTCTGGAAATTTGGGGGCTCAACCTCCAACTCTAAAGGTGTTACAAACAAACTTTTGTATGGCGGCAACTCTGGGAAATGTTGTTTAAAGGTCGCCTTGACGATATTTTTGAAAAAAGTCCATTTTTCATAGCTTCGGCAAAGTTTTTGATATAAAATTTCCCATATATTTGCTGCATTTGATTGATAAAAGCGCTATGTTTGATACCCACTTTTGATGATTGAATGCAGTGATGTACAACAAAAAACATCATTTTAGATAATTTTAAAAATTGTAACTAACAAATTGGACACAGAACATGCCGCAGCAATTTTTTCTCTTAAAGTTTTGACCCTTGGGAATCTGAAATTTAAAGAACTAAAAATATTAATTGGATAATAGCTATGAAAAATGGACTTTTTTCAAAAATCTCTTCGGGGCGACCTCTAAACAACATTTTTCAGAGTTGCCGCCATACAAAAGTTTGTTTGTAACACTCTTAGCTATCAGTTGGAGGGTGAGCCCCCAGATTACCTGACATAGTGCAATTTTGGGACACCCTAGTAAGTAGCACACTCGTAGCACACATTGATTTATAACTTGTACTAAATATATATAAACGAATTTGACTAGGTACCCCTCGGTACCCAACGCTCAAATTTTCAGGAGTACTATTTTATAAGGTGATCTTCCAAATACAATCAGTTTTCGACTACATCAGGGCCCGCCCACCCTCTTTTCGAGCCGTTGAATATGACGTCACAAAAACGCTTGATGGGCTGTATATCACATTGATTTCAATGAAAAGCATTGGTGTATTCAGCAAAGTTGTATATTTTAATGATGCCAACAATTTCTTAGAACATGATAAATTGATCAAATTTGAAAAAAGCACTAATTAACTCAAAAAACCAATATTAAGGTAGTCTTAAAAGAAAATCTATTATAGCTCTACAGGGTTATGATGTAGAAATTTGGTGTCTATAGCAAATGTTCATAAAATCAACTGCTCTACAACTTTGTCCAAGACATGAAACCATTATCTCGTAACTGAAAAAAGTTAGAATTTGGATGTGTAATACTAGCTTAAAGATTATTCAGGTGTTAATTTCAAAAGATGCGAGATATAATTTTGAGCAACTTCTCCCAAGACACCCAGTCTCTAAAACGTCGAAAAAGGGTAGAAAATATTTTTGACCGTCTTTATTCATATTCGTGCCACTGTGCGACGCCAGGGGAGGCAGCTCCCACATCTGGACCATACCTCGACCCATCAACTCATGAACGGGGCTAACGGCTTTACTTCCCTTCCGAAGGAAGACGTGATCAGAGATGTTATGCCTCAGAACATCCTGACGGCGCCGACTGGGATTGAACCCAGGCCTGCTGGGGTGAGAGCAAGCATGGGAAAAATCGTTTCATTTTGCATTTACTACTCACTCACACGCATACAACATCAGAAACGATCAGCAGCTTGTGCGAGCCGCACTTATTTCGTTCGTATTCGCATTGCTTCTATTCTCTTCGATGAAGCAGAATTGAGTAAAACAGACAGCTGAGCGTAACATGAATGATTCTGAGTGTAGTAGTGTGGAAGATTCCTCTTCTATTATTTTGTACATGCTGAGACTTTTACGATTGCATTCTGCTGAGTGAACTGAATGAGAATGTTTCAGAAAGAATCACTTTTCCATTTTCTAGCTTTAAACATACATTGACACATTTATATTGCTGTTAATATGGAGAAAACTGTTAAACTGTAACTCAAAAACATAAGCGTCACGCAAATACCGTAAAACTGCTGTGGCCAATTCAACTGATTTAAATCGGTGAACCAAAAACTATCTGACTCGGCTATTTAAACCGTCAGCATTCGGATTTTACGCATTCTATCTGGTTCTCCATCGGTAAAGAAAATTGTTCGGCTGCCTTTCAGTTTATCCTTCTTTCCCTCTACTGCTGTCAGTTCTGAGTCGGCCTGCAGAGTCACTTGGTTGGAAGAATTTACACTCGTTCGGCAATCTTTTTGTAGGTGAGGATGGCTATTTTGATTCTGTGGTGCTCGCGCGAGTGAACGAATTTTCCCATGCTTGGGTGAGAGGTAATCACGCTTACCTATTATCATTTTTACTCACACTGCATCTTTCACTGCAAGGATTTAATAAGGCTGTCCACGAGACAGTTGCGATCAGCTGACTTTTTTGTTTACCAAGAACCTTTGACAGTTAAAATAGTCGCGCAAATGACAACGACCGTTAAGGTTGCTCTAAGTGAAGTAAGAAACGTTCGAAAGAAATTTGAAAAACTCTTATTTCAGTAGCGGGAGTCGTTTGTTATTATTTATTGTTCGTTTTTGCGCGTGATTTAGGGAAAATGGATGTAATGTCGGCCTAAATGTCCCTAATTTGGACCTATACATAAATTCAGCAATCGACTAAGTTTTCAATGGCGACTAAAAATATCAAATACTCCGTAACGTGGGTAGATCACCTTTTCGTGGTACGTTACGGCATGTAAGATCTACCACCGATTTCTAGTCCTGACTACTTCAAACTAGGGGAACAGGATTTTTCAGTAATCCAAGGAACATATCTTAGTCCTTGTTGCTTTTTATGCCTTGTTGATAGTGACAAGACTCGGCTTTGTCAACCGAGGATGATCTTGAAACAAGGAAAAAATGAGTTAGTTACTATGAATGGAGTTCCAATTTCCTGGTCAAACCAAGTGAAATATCTTGGATTAGTACTAGACCAAAAATTAATTCTTTAAGATCACATCGAGTGGATTCAAGCCAATTGTAACAAATATATCAATCCAAACTTTGCCTGACGAAAAAACTTCTAATATTTAAACAAATTTTTAGATCGGCCATGCTTTACGCTGTGCCAATATTGTCTAGTTGTTGCACTACCAGAAAAAAAGCACTTCAAAGGATTCAGAACAAAGTTCTGAAGATGATTTTGAAGTTGCCTACCTGGTACAGTACTACCGAGGTACATAGAATTGCGAATGTTGAGACTTTAGAACAAATGTCCAACAAAATAATTAATAATGTCAGATGAATTCTTTTTATACTTAGATAAGATTTAACTTTAGTTTTAGTTTTTAGTTTTAAGGTGTCACTTATTGACATACAGACTGTTTAAAATACTGTATTGCCAAGGCAGGAACATTGTAAAAACACTTAGATATGTATCACAACAATTTAGGCTGGTAAGTAACTGTAGTAGCTGGAGCACCTAAGTTAAAAATGAAATGCAATTTATTTTTAATTTGCAACAAGAGTTAAAAAAAACCACATGTTTTATTTGAAAAAAATATCGTTTAACACCCAGACAACCAGAAGTCGTATAACAATGTACAGACAGCATCGTAAATTGCTACAGTTTAAGTCAAAATCGCATATAAGAATGGCATACCTCACATTATGTTAAATCGTATAGAATGCAAATTTTCGACCTATATGCGATTACTCATTTTTCAGTCGTAGTGTATCACACATTAAATCAGATTACATCGTAAAACTTTTCAAAATGAATTTGTTATTACAGATTAAATCGTATATGATGTTAAATAAACTCGTTTTAAATTAAATTAAAATATGCACGTATATAGCCTCCCCTTTTGTACGTATAAGCCATTTCTTTGCATTCTATACGAATTATTTGTCTGTATATATGTTTGTATATAACGAAAACAACTTTGAATATACGTGCATTCTGGTTGTCTGGGCATTTAGGACATCGACTTACGCCATCTCTAACTGTCAACGAAAAAAGCAAATTTTTTTATATGTCACTTAATTAGTCCCAGTAATGATTTTCCACATGGGAAAATATGTCCCCGAACGATAATGAGGACACAAAATTGGAGGCGAACCAGCCTCAGGCTGAAAGCCTCCTAAATAAAGATAAATCAATCAATCAATCAGGACACAACGAAATTAAGCAATCGCCCAGGATGGAAACCTTTCAGGTTGGCCCTATACACCACTGGAGGTGCTCAGCATACTTGAGTGAGTCACTGGACGTGCTTAAGACGCGGACAGAAAAAGAACAGACCAAAAAGGAAACACAACATTACTCTAAATAAATCTACAAGCAAAAATATTTTAAAAAGAAATTACTCACCTATTCGAAACCGGAGACTCTGACCAACCCGCACCACCACTAGAGGCAAGTCCTGAATAGTTTGTTCTGTGCCATTTTCATCGGTGGGTAATGGTTGTTGCGCCGGTGGAGTACAAACCAATTGTGTAAGAGCTAAACTTGTAACATTGCACTGCATGGTCCCGATTGTAACATTCACGTCTGATTCATCGCTTGCAATATTTAAATTTTCACCCTCTATTACTAGGGTGTCCCCTTTGTATAACTTTTTGAAATTTGGGAACGGGAAATAAATGGGATCATCCACATACACAATAGTCGATCGCAAGTTTGTGAAATGTTTGTTAAGGTCTTTAACTGTTAGAACGTTATCCATCACAAAAGTTAATTGGAATGTGATCTGGTTTTCGCTCATTTTGAGCGCAATTGGGGAACTTAGTCTGTTTATTGTCGTATCAAGTAAAGAGGCAGTTGTTTGTAGCTCATCCGATGGCATGAATTGAGTGGGTGAGAAAAGTGACACAGTTAATGCCGAACTATCACTTATCAACGATTCCGCAGTCGACATAAACGCAGACGGCTCGGTGGTTATTAAGCTTCGTCGATTTTTAATGCGACTCTGGTTATTTCCCGCAATCACATTTCCATTAAACTGCTCCACGTGCTTCAGAAATGAAAGAAACTTCAAGTTGACTGCTGGTGAAGGACATTCCATCTGGTTTGGATTTAAAACGGTACATATCGATTTGTTGATGCGTTCATCTTCATAATATACTTCAATTTCTGGTTTTTGAATTGAGTCCAGATTGGTACCGTGAACTGTCATCATTCTTCCTCCACTCATAAAACTTTTGAGGGGTTTTATCTGCATAATTTTTGGGTCAACAGTATAATTGTACACGCTACACGTTTCGTAATGACTATGATAGTGATAATTATTTCGGCTTAAACTGTTTTGCTGGTTATCGTCCATGCACTTTAAGGTACGATTTGCTCCATCAATCAAAAGTGTCAAAATTCGTATGTGTTCGGGAGAACGAGCAGCTGACGTGATACAAATCAGCCTACCTGAAGAAGCTTGGGTGATGTTAATATGGCAAGGATAATCATCCAAATATGCCATAATTGTTGAACCAATGTTTAAAAATTTCCCAATTATAGAAACTTTAGTACCTCCGGACTGTGGTCCCATTGTAGGATGCAAACCTGTTAATTGTACGCTTTTATATTGGAATTGTACACTCGATTCAGTGTACCCAGCTTCATTGCCAACTTTAATTGATGCTGTCATTTCTCCTGGAACTGGTCCTGTGCGGCATTCTATTTTGACGGAAATTTCATAATTGATCAGTTCACATGGTACATTGCCAATTCGAATTTTGCCTCGTACATCTTCTTCACGAATGCCCAGATTGCTTCCTTCTATAGTTAGTAATGTTCCGCCTTCTATTGGGCCACTAAGAGGCTTAATGAGATCAATTCTTGGCTTGGGGCATTCATTCAAATTTGTGTCGAACGCGCAGGTCTCGTTATACACGCACTGATTGTTACACCAAGTGCATTGATATTTTTTGTCACGAGTGACGCATAAACTGCAGTCTGCATGCTCTCTATGAGATCCAAGAATATCACACTTGTAAAGAATAATTGACACAGTATCTATGTAATGATTCCGGTTCCAATTCACATCAACTTTTGCTTCGTATTCGTTCGTGTTGGCTTCGTAAGAGTACTGAAATTAAAATTATAAATATCCATTAGAATAATAATACAATACAAAATGTTCATGAGTTATTATGATTGATAACGATGTTTTAATGAAACTGCAAGCATTTCGATATCGTTCAGTTTGCTATCTTTTAATCTAGAAGAAGTTATGCTCATAATATGAAATGATCTTTGCATATTTGTGAATTAATACGATAAAGTCGTACACGAACAAACACAAATCCCCTAAGAGCATCTCCACTGCTAGTTCTCATTTCGGTCATTAAATTACGCCCCGAACGGGTCTCTATTTAGTTTAGCAACCCGACAAAATGCGATTTCCCACTGCTGAGTTGATATAATCAACCACTTCATTCGAGCAGTTAAAATGACGTTTTCTACCACTCGAACTTTGAAATAAAACATTATTTTGAGATTTTTTCTTCTCGAACCACGAGAAAAGTCGCCAACATTTCATAAAAAAATAGAAATTAGTTGGTTCAGTTTTGTGAAATCGCTGGTAGAAAGTCAAGTCAAAACTGCTTCACAAAGTGGTCAATTATAGAAACTCAAACTTCCCCAAAATGACATCTTCATCAAGGTGACTATACATAGGTTTTTTTTTTTTTTTTTTAATTCTTTATTTAAGAGATTTTTAGCCTTAGGCTAGTTCATCTCTAAACTATACATAGGTGTTCTAATGTGTCAAATTCATGATTCAGTTTTGTTGGATCTCCTCGCCCATATAATGACAAAGCTGTATCATCATGTTATACCCACCATGGGTTATGATTCGTTTTGTAGAGGTTTTGTTTTGTTTTGGTGTTGGAGTTATTGTTGTTGCTGTTCGGAGAAAAGGGAGAAAAGTAATCTGCAGAATAAATTACTGTTGTTTAGAAATTGAATTCCCATTTTAATTTCGTTTCGACTCAGGAGTTATTGTTATTCGGTCAGGCTCCGCACTCGGTGGAGGGTGTTTTTGGGAAGCTAAGGAGAAAAGCCAAGATAACCGGAACGACTTCGATGGCCAAGAAGATCGACAAGATTCAATCGATGTTCGTGGCGTGTGGCATTCGGATGCTCGATTAATCATTCGTTCGCTTGCTGGGAAGCTTCGGATAAATCTGGCAGAACAATCGCTGATGCAAGCACTGCCTCAAGCATGTGCCATGACTCCACCTAATAAGAAGGACACCAAGTAACCCATCCTCAACGCGCTGAGTAAAGTGCAGCGAGGCATCGGCCAAGGCCAAGATGAAAATAATAAATAATTACTCTTATCCTGAAGACAGTCTACTATCACTGTACGAACTACAAACAGATCGTTACGGTCCTGCTGGAGCATGGTACCGATCATTTGCTGGAGAAGTTTCCGATGATGCCGGGCACTCAATCGAAGCCCATGCTGGCCCATCCGACCAAGGGCGTGCTGGAACGGTTCGTTCGATGGAATCGATTTCACCTGCGAGCGGAAGTACGACGGAGAACGGGCTCAGATTCATCTGCTGGAGGAGTGTCAACTTCAGTAGTCTGAATCAGGAGAAGAAAACCACCAAGTATCCGGATATAATCGTGCGGCTGGATAACACTAGGAAGGAAACCGTCACCAGTGCTATTCTGGACTGCGAGGCCATGGCGTGGGATCCCGAGAAAAAACAGATTTTACCATTCCAGATGTTGAGTACCCGGAAGCGGAAAGACGCCAACGAGGCGGATATTAAGGTTCAGGTGTCTTTATGTTCGACCTGCTCTACTTGAACGGCAACCCGCTGGTGGAGTGTCCCTTCCTCGAGCGTCGGGAGCTTCTGTACAAGCACTTCAGTGTATTCGGAGTTGAACAGAAGTATGACACCCGACTGCATACCAGATATATTGAAGAACTCAGTGGCGTTTCCTTAACCTCAATCTACCTGTGCACCAACTCTTAAAACATAACAACTATCAAAATATTGCTTGCAATGGATGGATATCGAGTAAACTAGAAGATTAAATGTATTTTTCAACCGATTCGAGCATGAATATGGCATTAAATCTGGTTTTGAAAGTTGATCACAGGTGAAAAGTGAGGTGATGGGACGCCACAGGAAGAACTACATCGTTTCCTGGACGAAGCGGTCGAAGGTAACTGCGAAGGTCTGATGGTTAAAACCCTCTAGAAGGAAGCCACCTAAGAAATTGCCCAAAGATCCAGGAATTGGCTGAAACTGAAGACTAGCTGGATCAGGTAGTCTTCGGAGGCTACAATAGGAAATCCGAAGCCGGATCCCGAAAGGGAAACCGATGCCGGATCCCGAAAGGGAATCCGATGCCGGATCCCGAAAGGGAATCCGATGCCGGATCCCGAAAGGGAATCCGATGCCGGATCCCGATACCGGATCCCGAAAGGGAATCCGATGCCGGATCCCGAAAGGGAATTCGAAGCCCGATCCCGAAAGGGTATTCGAAGCCGGATCCCGAAAGGGACTCTGATGCCGGATCCCGATTCATTAGTTGATGGGTCGATAGGTAGGGTCCAAGTGTGGGAGCTGCCTCCCTGGCGTCGGTAGCATTGGTGCTCAGCACGGAAAAAACGACGGAAAACAAATTAACGAAAAAAAAAAAGGTTGTAGTTAAGGTAGTTAGTAGAAGATTAGTAAAAATTAAGTTTAAGTTTTATTAAAGATAAAATAAAAGTTAAACCTTAAGTTAAGTTAATAAGGTACAGTTTTGTTAAACTTAAGCAAAATATATGTTTAAGTTAAAGTAAAACATAGTAACAGTTAGGTTAAAGTTATTTCCAGAAAACTTCAGGGAAACTTCTTGAAGTTCTTTCATCTTCTTGGATTTTTTTCAAAGTTCTTGGAACTTATTAAAACTTGACACTTCTTGTTAGTTAAGATTAAGTCAAAGTTAAGTTAATTTGCTAAAATGTTAAAGTTAATTACAAATAAAGTAAAATTAATTAGATAAAGATTAGTCCAATAAAGTACAAGTTTCGTTAAAGATAAACTCAAATTTTTTGAACTTCTTGAAACTTCTGGGAGTGTCGTGAAATTTCTTGGAAGTTCTTGCTATGTTAAAATTGGAGAAACCGAATACGGATCCCAATGGGGATTCCGTAGACGGATCCCGATGGGGAATCCAAAGACGGATTCTGTAGACGGATCTCGATGGGGAAACCGAATACGGATCCCGATGGAGATTCCTTAGACGTATCTCGATGGAGATTCTGTAGACGGATCCCGATGGGGATTCCGTAAACGGTGTAGCGTCGTGCGTTTATTTCGTTTCAATTTTTAGTTTAGTTTAGAATAACTATGGTTAGTATTTGAACCTTGTAACTAATTAAGAATTTCAATGCAATTAAAAAAGAGTGATTCGTTTCCAATGCAATGTAGCAAAAAACTTCGTGATACGTACATTTGTCGGGATTTTTATGACAAGATAAAAGTGAGCTTGCAGATATGAAGCTTTTATAGCAAGCTAGCAGATGTAGCTTTTGTTTATAGATAGGGAAATACGTGAAAGAGATAGGATTCAAATGAACACCTGAGTAAAATGGTTAAGCCAAAAGCCGTTGGTAGAGTCCCCATTACGTTACAACCTCGGGGACCGTGACATTCGAGAGCTCGGACCGCAGAAGTACGAAGCCAATTGCATACCTCGGTTCGGATTTTAACCAAAGAGGAGAAGATTACATTTCATCTCGGGCGGTCATAGCGGAAACATAGTTCGCGAAGCCGTGCGACGGTACGTTGGTCTCTCTCTTCCGTGGAGCGAATCTCCCGGGAAATGCTCGACTCCGTCGATGCTCAGCTCTCTAGAAAGCAAATCGGAAGCCTTCCGTCCAGCCGCCACTACCTCCGCACCTCTAATTTCGGCCATACCGCACACGGATCACTTTTCGTCACTGCACGCCATCTCCGCAGCTTGATCGGCGCCATTCCGAGACCGCCGCCATCATCACAGGTCGTCGGAAGGTTGACAATCGCCATCGCCAGGACTTTGGTAAGGTCACCGGCCGCCATTACCGCTCCATCCGTCGCTATCACCGATTCATCCGACGCCATCATCGCATCGCATCGCATCGAAAAAACCTGCGCAGGTATGTCCGTACTTTTTTTTATGGCCATGAATAGTTTGCTTTTTGAACCGAGTTTAGTCCAACCCGAATGAATGTTAAGGAATGATGTGAATATAGATTGAAAATTGTAGTTTTTTCGTTGAGTTACTTATTTTTCTGTCACGTTTTTTTAGCTGACTCGCTCGCCATTGAGTTCTTGGGCTCGTCTTGTTGCCTCCCTAAGCGGACCCCCCGCATGCTAATTCTTTTGTTAATATACTTAATGTCATTAGACTTTCTGAAGTTTCTTATTTAAGTTTATTTGATGATTATGATATCTCAAGATTATGATATTTAATAAATTATTACAAGCTCTAATTGAACTAATAAATCATATTCCATGCTTTATTAAGTACCTGCACTTGTGCTTGTAATCTAAAATTAAACGTGTTTCAAGTACTTTTGATTTAAACCTATACCTATTTATAATACCTTCATGTGACTAAAATGCTTCATTTTGAAGTAAGTTTCCTAGCTGATTTTTAAATTATATAGGGTATATGTTCCAATTACGCTCACACGCTTCCACTATGTCGCACCACTAAAATACGTATGGGTATGTCACAATAGAAGCACGCCACAGTGGAAATCCCGAGCCATAGTTAAAACACTTATCCCAAATCAAAATGAAGCACATATAAGATTAGTTACAATACCATGTACAAAAATCATGTTTAACATTGTTTCCTGAGTAATACTTCAATGAAAACAACAATGAAAGCTTGTCATAGAAGGAGCACCGTTGGGCACTTTCTGAAATATTTCAATAGTATAATTCCCTTGCAAACCCAAATAAATCTATCTGCGTAAAAATAAATAAAATAAGAGTGATTTGCGGCAAAACCCGCCAGTATGACACCCAACGTCAGTGCCTATACGTAAGCGTACTACGACGCGGCTCTCAATAAAGGAGTTACAAGCGT